TTCAAGTGATCCTCCCGCCTTAGCCTCCTGAGCAGCTGGGACTACAAACATGTATCACCCTGTCTGGCTAATTTTTTAATTTTTCTGTAGAGATGGGTCTCACTATGTTGTCCAGGCGGGTCTTGAACTCCTAAGCTCAAGCAATCCTTTCACCTCTGCTCCCCCGCAAAGGTCTAGAATTATAGGCGTGAGCCACTATGCCTGGCCTGAATTATTGTTTAGGAGACTGTTTCATAAGGAGATCTATTTATTTTCCAATACAACAGATTGACTGATGGGTTGAATTAGAAAATAAACAATGGTGTCCATTTGCCCTTTCTGTTAATTTAGATAAAAAGCTACAAAACTTGCAAATTTGTTGTCTTCCTTGTTTTAGCTTCAGGGTGCTCAAAAGAAAACTGAATTTCGAAGTGGCATCTTTGCTTTACAACAGTCGTTCTCTAAGGGGACATTTGGCAATGTCCGGAAATCTTTTTTGGTTGTCACAACTAGGTGTAGCACATGTTACTCACATTTAATAGGTAGAGGTTAGCGATGCTGCTTAATATCCTATGATGAACAGGCTAGCCGCTCCACAACAAAGAATCATCTGGCCCAAAATGTCAATAGTGCCAAGGCTGAGAAACCCTGGTTAATAGGTACCATCAACATGAATCCAAGCCATCACCAAGATAAACTGTTTGGGTACAATTAAATAAATACTTAAAGCTGAGAAATTAGTTCAACAACAATAATAAAAACAGCAGCTGCCATTAATTATCACAGGTGAAATAGGCCAAACCCAAGCTAAGTATTAGCTCTACAATATCTCATTTAATTCTTATGAAAATCTTGTGGGATATTATTATTCCTATTTTGCAGAGATGATTATTATAGTTACTGTGTACAGCAGAGGTATTTAAGATAACTTTAGTGATAGCATAGAGTAATAATCTGGTGACAGAGAATCTAAGACCTGAAGACACAGCATGATGAGAGAGGCAGAAACTAAGAGCTGTGTTCAGGAAAGTCCCTGGGGTGGGCATTAAGCACCCATTCTCTTGCTTCCAACTCTTTGGCATTTCCTTCTAAGAGCCAGTGAAGCAGTAAAATGACAGATCCAGCATATATCTTGATAACTGAATGAAAAGGAAGAAAATATTTGTACACAGATAATGTAGGCAAAGGCGAAGATAAATAGATAAAATATGGTGATAAGCAATGCATGATTTAATCTTTGAGATCATCAACTGATTCCAATGCCTTCATGGTACAACGGGAAAATACAAGCCTTAGGGAAAGGGTGACTTGCTTAAGGTAATACAGCCATACCTCAAGAAAACAAAAGAATAGCACTGTGGGCTGAAAACCAGAGGAACTTTCTCCAAAATGATAAAACATTTTAGCTTAGATTTAGAAAGGGTTAAGAGGGTCACACCTTTCTCTTTAGGAACAGATATTTCTTATATAACTAAAAGCCATTATCACAGCTGTCAAGATTAACAATAAGTTGGTTTTTAAAATCAGGATCCAAACACACTGATGTCTCTTAAGTTTCTTATAATCTAGAGCAGTCTCTTTCCCTTTTTACCCTCATAACTTGACTTGCAACAGTAACTGGGTCAGATGCTTTGTAAAATGTCCTACATTCTGGATTTGACTATTTACTTCCTTGAGTTGTAATTTGACTTACTCCTTTATCCTTCATATGTGCTGTGAGTGAAAGTAGCTTTAGAGATTCAGGTTTCACTTTTCTTTTTTTAACAAGGATACTTCATAGAGGATAACATCAGGAGGCACATGTCCCACTTTTAGTGATGCTAAGATTGATCAGAGGGTTCAAATGTTAACGGCCTAAGCTCTCCATCAACTTTTCACCTAAAGATTTGATAATCATTCCTTGAATCAATTATTTCATGAGGGGCTGTGAGAAAATCACCACTTGATTTTTAATGCTACTGGTCCAACCACATTTATTAGTTGGAATTTTCCCTCACCAACTAAACCTATTTTGATACTCTGAACTACAGTTTATACAAGAAAAGGTAACTATTTAATTCTCTCCATTTACCTTCCAATTTTCAAAATAAAGTGGTGGTGCCTTAGTTACATCAGTAACTGATGTAGAGTTTATTTCCAACTAAATAGACACCAAAACTGAAATATATTTTTTACAAAACATTTAAACAAAAGAGAAGAGAGATTCCATTAGCAATCCAACTAACATATAAAGGGTATAGGCCAGTACTTCAGATTTGTCCAGTGATAAGAAGTCCAAGGACCTGGAACAACCACAAGATCCTCAGAGGGAAAGGACTGTCTGGTCAACTTTTTGTTCCTGTGGCAAGTCAACAGAAAGATCTGTCCAAAGCTTTCAGGTCTCTGCAAAATGAATAATAAGCCACCTTTACACTAAACATGATCTGAAGGCAAATCTCAAACTGAGTTCTGACTTTTTAAAAAAACTATACTTAATTGAGTTAACTCAATAGCTACAATTGCCTGTGAATACCATAAATGAATTGGAATACTGACATAGATGGTTGTGCTATGAATAAGAAATCTTTTTCTTCAATGAAATGAGCTGGAAAAAACTGCCAGTTGTAATATTAATTTCAGAAAAAATTAAGGTGTAAAGTACTAAGAGTCATTATATAATGATAAAATCACAGTGAGTGGCAGAAAACCAGAGTGAATGTATAAACCACAAAAAAAAAATTGGATATACAAAACAAGAACCATTAAACAAGTATTCAGAAACGATCACAAATGTAATAGTAGTAGGAGAGTTTCATCCCCATCAAACAGATACAAATGAAAATAAGTGAATCTGAAAAACACAAATTTGGTAAAAATTCATGGTCTGGCAGTGTCTGCTTGCTTATAAAAAAGCAAATGGAGAGATTTTTTCAAATGTTCACTTCTAAAATCTTTTAAAATGTATTTAAAGAGGTAAACATCTTTATGCTGCTTTATTGAGATATAGCGAACCTGGCATCTGCCCTACCACAATAGCCCTGGCTGCTGAGCTGGCCATATTTCTGCATCCCCATCTTCTCACCTTCCTCTATAAGGGTACTTACCCCAGGGACAATTAATCCATGGTCATGCATCTATATCCTGGTTAGAAAAGATAATGTGTACCAAATAAGATGTCTTGGGAGTCTGAACCGAAAATAGGGAACAACTTGGGCAGTTCATAGTAGGACAGAAAGAAATGACATGGAATGTGGTTGAGCCATATTAATAGCAGAGACCCAGAGAGAAGATCCTGCTATGAGCTCTTAAGCTATCAGCCCCTTTCCAGCTCTGGTCTTCAGGGCTGTCCTATGGCAGCTCCCGGTGTCCGTTATCCTGTTCTTATTGTTCCATAGATACCTAATAAGTTTGCTAGGGCTGCTGTAACAAAGACTACATGGACTTAACCAACAGAAATTTATCTTCTCAAGGTATCAGCATGGCTGGTTCTGAGGGCCATGAGGGAAGGATTTGTTTCAGGCATCCTAGGCTTGTAAATAGCTGTCTTCTCCCTCTGCGCATGTCATATACATGAAATTTCCTTTTCTAAAGACATCATTCATTCAGATTAGAACCCAACCAAATGACCTCTTTTTAATATAATTACCTCTTTAAAGACCTTATCTCCAAATACTGTCATACTCTGAGATATGGGAGTGTGGTTAGGATTTCAAGATGAATTTTTGAGAAGGCATAATTCAGCTCACAACAATAGCTTTAAAAATAATATCCTCTTGATTTAAGCTAGCTTAAGTGGGCCTCAGTTGCCTGTAACTGAATAGTTCTTACCAAAATAGCTACATTTCCTGGTCTTCCATTATTATTTGAGACAGATTCCTTCTGTTGCCCAAGCTGGAGCACAGTGGTACAATCATAGCTTATGTAGCCTTGAACTATTGAGTTCAAGTGATCCTCCTGCCTCAGCCTCCCGAGTAGCCGGGCACTTCTTCAAGTACGTGTCACCACACCTGGCTAACTTTTAAATTTTTGTAGATATAGGGTCTCACTGTATTGCCCATGCTAGTCTCAAACTCCTGGCCTCAAGGAAACCTCCCAGCTCAGCCTTTCAAAGTGCTGGGATAATAGTCATAAGCTACCACGACCAGCCACTTCTATTATTTTTAAACTACTGATATGTTTCTTTCAAGCCTCCCAATATTTTAAGCTGCAAGATAGCAGTAATATTTTATTTTATTTTATTTTATTTTATTTTATTTTATTTTATTTTATTTTATTTTTGAGACGGAGTTTCACTCTTGTTACCCAGGCTGGAGTGCAATGGCGTGATCTCGGCTCACCGCAGCCTCTGCCTCCTGGGTTCAGGCAATTCTCCTGCCTCAGCCTCCTGAGTAGCTGGGATTACAGGCACGCGCCACCACGCCCAGATAACTTTTTGTATTTTTAGTAGAGACGGGGTTTCACCATGTTGACCAGGATGGTCTCGATCTCTTGACCTCGTGATCCACCCGCCTCGGCCTCCCGAAGTGCTGGGATTATAGGCATGAGCCACCGCGCCCGGCTGATAGCAGTAATATTTTAATAGCTCATTGAATTCTGCCTCCACAGACCTAGCACCCTACAAACAAGTGGCGTGGAAAACAAAAGGCAAAGTAAAGATTTCTGTAGCGGATATTGTGGTGTACCACCCAGACCCCACTTTAGAACTGAAGAATTCATTCCCCTAGCAACCAGGAATGTTGGTTGCTGGCAGTTCACAGCTAAGTCCTATCCCAAGAACTGCCAACAGAGCCACCTCACCCAAGGTAATTTCCCCTCCTAGGTGGCTACCTGCATTCAATGATGTAGACCTCTAAGAGCCCATCCTTCTTAGCTCAGTACAGAAAATCTCTGAGGGCCACCTCAGCTCCAGAGAAACTTGTGAGATGGGCTGAGGCCTCTGTTGCAAATATATCACAGTTCAACTTTCCCTCTAAACAATCCTCCTACCTACCCAAAAGGTGCTGATCCTGAGACCACTCTAAAATAAATTTCCTGCACACAAATCTGTCTTAGGAGTCTATTTCCCAGGAAACCTGACTTACAGTGTAGCTAACACTGTAACAGAAATGAAAACAAACCAAAAAACTCAGAAAAATTAACCAGATACTGGGTTAATTTCCTCTTTTTCATTTCTCGCTTTTCGAGAATCCTGTCCACCTTCTATCTCCTTGCTAGAGACAGGGTCCTGTTCCTTCCAGGGCCCTCAACCAGCCACTCCTCAACACCACAGACAGAAACCCCAGACACCCTGATCTTCCAGGACAGCAGGGGACACCGCAGATCCCAGTTCCTCCCCTGGGTCCTGCAGCTGCACTTCTCTTGAAGTCTGGTCCCTTCAGGAGAGCAAAGGAGAGGAGCGGGTGAAGCAGAGGAATCCACACAGGAGGAGAAGCTGGTCCTGGCAGCTCCCTACTGGCCTCTTCCTTGGAGCCTGAGTCTAGGAAGAAGTGCTAGCCCTAAGGACAGAGACATGGGCCCTGCTGGTTGTGCCTTTACGCTGCTCCTTCTGCTGGGGATCTCAGGTGAGCCCCAGGGTGGGGTTGGGAAGGGAGAGGCAGAGGATTTTTACTCAAGAAGGCATCACATAGAACAATGTGACACTTCACCCATGGGATGTTATTTATGAGTAGCATGGCCTGAAAAGTCCTAAGAGGCTACTATATGCCCAGTACCATTCCAATGATTCTGGTTGGAAATAGCAGTACACACACACACACACACACACACACACACACACACAAGATTCTATCTTTGTGGGACTTATAATCAATACACATATTAAATGTGTTAATTATAAAGCATATTATAAGGTAATAACTACTATGAAAGGAAAAGGGCATCTAAATTACAGGGGCAGGAGTGTTGCGATCTTTAGAAGGCTAAAGAAGGCCCCACTAACAAGGAGTCATTTGAGCAGACCTGAAGGAGATAAGTAAATTAGCTAAGAGGTACAGGAAAAGATCATATCAAGCAGAGGGAACTGGAAGAGCGAACACTGTTCAATGGCTTCAGTCATAAGCTTGTTCATTTATTTTTCTGGTGCACACTGATTTAAAAGAAGGGTATGCTAGCCAAGCACAGTGGCTTATGCCTATAATCCCAGCACTTTGGGAGGCCAAGGCGGGCAGATCACCTGAGATCAGGAGTGCAAGGCCAGCCTGGGCAACATGGCGAAACCCCATCTCTACAAAAAATACACACACAAAAAAAATTAGCTGGGTGAAGTTGTGGGCTCCTGTAGTCCCAGCCCCTCAGGAGGCTGAGGCAAGAGAAGTGCTTGAGCCTGGGAAGTGGAGGTTGAAGTAAGTCAAGATAGCGGCCACTGCACTCTAGCCTGGGTGACAGAGTAAGAAGACCTTGTCTCCCCAAAAAACAAAAAACAAAAGGGTATGCTGAGAGAGCAAACAACGTAACAACAGGTAGCAAAGAAGAAAGAAACACAATTATACTGCAAAATGCCAATTCAGTTAAACCAAATAGCACAAAAGTAAATAGCTTGCAAACCTAAACCACATCTGAAGGCATCATTGTATTTATAAAACAACACACTTGATATTCCTAATGATGACCTTGAATCAAGTAAAAGTTAAATTTGAATCTTCATAGAGCATAATTTTTTTTTAAGAGACAGAGTCTCACTCCGTCATCCAGTGGCGCAATCATAGCCCACTGCAACCTCAAACTCCTGGGCTCAAGCAATCCTCCCACCTCAGTCTCCCTAGTAGCTGGGACTACAGGTGTGCGGCCACACCTGTTGTGTTTGTGACCCAAAAGAGCTTAAGACAAAAATACCCAACTGTTATTTAGGAAGTGATTTGCGAAAAATAAGGAAGGTCTCTGATACAGAACCTGTCTCCAGCATTCCTTTTTCTACTTCTATGCCCTATTTCTGGTCATTCCTAGTTTGAGAGTCCGACGTGACCTAGGGTTTCCTTCTGCCCTACCTATCTTACCACTTTTTTTCTTTTTTTTTCTTTTTCAGACAGGGTCTCGCTCTCTTGTCCAGGCTGGCGTGTAGTGGCATGATCTCAACTCACTGCATCATCCACCTCCTGGGCTTAAGCAATCCTCCTGTCTCAGCCTCCCTAGTAGCTGGGACTACAGGCATGCACCATCACACCAGGGTAATTTCTTCATATTTTTTGTAGAGATGGTGTTTGGTCATGTTGCCCAGGCTGGTTTTGAACTCCTGGACTTGAGCAATCCACCCACCTCAGCCTCCCAAAGTGCTGGGATTACCGTGCCTAGTCTATCTTACTACTTTCATTTGTTTGTTGGTTCACTGATGAAGTCATGAAAATATTCACTGGGAACCTATCTGTGTCCTAGCTGCCAACTAGAACTCACACTTTTATGCAGTGTGCTGCTGTCAGTATCCACCTCTCACTGAAAGGGGAACTTCCACAGATAAAGCTGTGGTCCAAGTGTAGGCTGACCCACCAAGGCCAGCACCCTGCAGCAGCATCCTGGCCACCTGCAGCATCCTGGCCACCTGCAATGTGGCTTGAGTATACAGGTCACCTGCACATTAGAGAAAGAGGAGAAAGGGAAATGTGGAAATCTTTTTTTTTTTTTTGGTGGGGGGGCCTGGTTTCGCCATGTCACCCAGGCTGGTCTCAAACTCCTGGCCTCAAGCAATCCTCCCACCTCATCCTCCCAAAGCACCGGGATTACAGGCATGAGCCACTATGCCTGGCTCGAAAAAATTTGTTTTAAGTTAAATTATGTTCCATGGACGCTGCTAAGGAAGGCAGGTAAGTATGTTTATAAAGATGTCCACTAATAAAAATTTTGCCCTTTGACACCAATCTGGAAAATTTAAATAAAAGGAAGGCTCTCTGTTCAGTGAATCTAGATATTAGATGTGTTATTATGTATTAATGATACCTTATTTCTTCCTTAGGGTCTTGCTCATGTTCTTTTCCCAAAAAGAAAGAGCTGCCATCAGGTGAGGGGTCTCCATTTTGAGCGTAAGACTGCTAGGTATGGAATGAGAGTAGGATAGAGTATGGTGTCTAAGGACAGTTCAGGTCCTAGGAATAGATGGGAGTTTGGGAATGATGATAAGGTGGGGAACCAGAGAAACGGAACTCCCAGGTTTCCACATTTCCCTTTCTTCTCTTTCTCTAGTGTGCGGGCGACCTGTATACTCAAGCCGCATTACAGGTGGCCAGGATGCTGCTGCAGGGCGCTGGCCTTGGCAGGTCAGCCTACACTTGGACGACAACTTCATCTGTGGAGGTTCCCTCATCAATGAGAGGTGGATACTGACAGCAGCACACTGCTTACCCAGGTAAGTTCTAGCTAGCAGCTAGCACACAGACAGGTTCTCGGTGAATATTTGCATCACTTCATGAATGAACCAACAGACGAATGAAGGTGGTAAGATAGGTAGGGCAGAAGGAAATCCAAATCATGTCAGACTATCCAATCAGGAACAACTAGAGATAGGGCATGGAAGCAGGAAAAGGAAAGCTGGAGACAGGCACTATATTAAAGACTCTTCTTATTTTTTCCCAAATCACCTTCTAAAAACCAGTCAGGAGATTTTTGTCATAAGTTTTTTTGGGTCATAAACACAGTCTGAGCTCTAAGAGCCACTACCGTGAGAGATGCAATTTGTCATGTGGTGAGAATCCTTATAGAGAGGCCCATGTGGAACCAGCATCTCCAGTTAACAGTGAGAAGGCCCAAAGCCTACCAGCATAAGTGAGTTTGGACACAGATCCTCCCCAGTGAGATGACTGCAGCTCACCTTGATTGCAGCCACAAGAGACCTGGAGTCAGTGGTACTCAACTAAGTCATACCTGATTCCTGGCCCATAAAAACTATGAGATAAATATTTGTTGTTTTAAGCCCCTAAGCTTTATAACTTGTTTTGCAACAATTGATAACTGATACATACAGAAATTAAAATGTCAGGACTCTTCAATAACAACACTGAAAGTCCAAAGAAAATAAGCCAGGTGTGGTGGTTTGCACCTGTAATCCCAGCTATTCAGGAGGCTGAGGTGGGAGGATCACTTGAGCCCAGGAGTTCAAAGCTGCAGTCAGCTATGATTGTGCCACTGCATTCCAGCCTGGGTAACAGAGTAAGACCTTGTCTCTAAAAAAAAAAAAATTAAGTTAAACAAAAAGAGAAAATAAGAGTAATAACTTCAAAACGCTAAAAGAAAATTATTTACAACTTAGAATTCTATCCATATGCAAACTATCAATCAAATGTGGGATAGAAGTAAAATATTTTCAAATACACGAAGCAGCAAAAATGTTACCTCTCACGTACATTTTCTCAGGAAGCCATAGGATAATGTGCTCCACCAAAATAAAGCGGGAAAAACAGACAATGGATATGGACAAAAGGGGATATAACACAGAAGAGAATCCCTAAGAAAGTCATAAAGGATAAAGAAAGTGCCAAGATGATGGCTGTGCAGTAGCCCAGATTAGAACAAGAGGGCAGAGGGCTCCAAAAAAAAGTATTGATAGAATGCCTGATAAGTTTGAACAAAATGAGAGGAGACTGACATTTCTGGTGGAGGGTCTGGGAAGTGAGACTGATGATGGATATACAGATAAAAACGAAAAACCAAAGTGAACCCACTGATCAACTCCAGGAGAAGCAAAAAGTTTTACAAGAAATGTAATCACCCAATAGGACCCAGTAGTAAATAATGTTTACATAGTCACAAGAACAAACACATTAAATACTTATTTAACAAAACGTTATGGTAACACTGGCTAGGAGGATGGGTAGAATGAAAGTGGGACGTGGGGGGTAAACAGTGATGCGTTAGAAAGTTCTATCCTCACCTTCCACAGTAGGAACTCAGTTTTCTAAAACTGAAAAAGAACAATAAAAACACAGCATCACATAGGGTTTCTTGAAAACATCTGAAAATTACTAAGAGCCAAAAGAGTTCAATGTGATTGCCTCTAAATAGCATGAACTGAGGGTAGTAAGGCCGAGAACTCAATATTTATTTATTTTGTACAACTTATCAAACTACCTGAAATCTTAACTGTGTATATGTATAACTGTGGTTATATTTTGCTTTAACATTTTATTCAGAAATGAAAGTCTAGTGCTCAGAACAGAATCAGTATGGACAATAAACAGCAATGTTTACTAAGCACACAGGTGATGGCTGAGACCATGGAGAATGGAAGAGGTAAATAAGAGAACCGGAGAGAAAAGATAGGACAAAACGCAGGCTGTAAGCCTCTAAGAAGAGACCACAGAAAGAGTGGTCAGGGAATGATGGAGATAGAGAAAGAGAGGAGAGAGGGAGACAAATCAACCTTAGTTGAAGTTGGAAGCACCGTGGTTAA